CCATTCTTGACATGTCTTAGTTGCTTGTCATCTTTGGTCTAGGTTAAAGATCCTGTGGGATTTTCCTCTTCCACGTTATCATATTGATTGTTTTGTGTTCTGAAATATGATTTTCTTGTATAGCCCTGGCTGCCCTGGAACTCAGTGTGCAGACCAGGTTGGCCTCAAGCACACAGAGATTTGCTTGTCTCTGCCTCCTGCATGCTAAGATTAAAGGTGTGCACAGCCACTGTCCAGCATCAAGTCTTAAAGGACAGGCTCACAACCAAAATATGAGGGTTTTTTTTTCCTATTTTTGTTCAAAGGTGTTCTAATTTCGAAAGATATTGCAATGGATATGTAGATTGCTTTTGGTAGGACATCCATTTTCACAATACTAATTTTTCTAATCATTGAGCCTAGAAGTCTTTCATCTCGTGTCTTCCTCAATTTCGTTCTTCAAGGTTTTAAATTTTTCATCATAGAAGTCTTTCACTTCCTTCCTTAGATTTATCCCATTTTTTTTTTGATTTTTGAGACAGGGTTCCTGTCCTGGAACTAGCTCTTGTAGACCAGGCTGGCCTCAAACTCACAGGGATCCACCTGCCTCTGCCTCCCGAGTGCTGGGATTAAAGACGTGTGCCGCCACTGCCCAGCTGTGGATTTATCCCATTTTTAAGGCTATTGTGCCTGACGTTATTTCATTGTTTTCTTTCTCAGTATATTTATCTATCATTGGTGTACAGGAAAACCACTAATTTATGTTAATTTATTGTTATTATTATTATTATTACCATTATTATTATCGTTGGTTTTTCGAGATAGGGTTTCTCTGTGTAACAGCTCTGGCTGACCTGGAAATCACTTTGTAGACCAGGCTGGCCTCAAACTCAGAGATTTGTCTGTCTCTTGCTGGAATTAAAGGTGTATTCCACCATGCCCAGCTTTTAAGTTAATTTTAAATTCTGACATTTTACTGAAAGTGTTAATTACCTCTAAAGTTTTCTGTTGGAGTGTTTAGGGTCTCTGATGTATAGAATCCTGTCATCTGCAAGGGGCACATTTTGACCTCTTTCTTTTTTAAGATTGCATTGTACTTTTTTTAAAAAAATTATTTGTTTGTTTATTTATTATGTATATAGTATTCTGTCTGAGTGTATGCCTGCAGGCCAGAAGAGGGCACCAGACCTCATTACAGATGGTTGTGAGCCACCATGTGGTTGCTGGGAATTGAGCTCAGGACCTTTGGAAGAGCAGACAATGTTCTTAACTGCTGATCCATCTCTCCAGCCCTGCATTGTACTTTTTAGGTTTTTTTTTTTTTTCAGACAGGTTTTTCTCTGTATAGCCTTGACTGTCCTAGAACTCACTTTGAGATCAGGCTGGCTTCAAATTCAAAAAGAGATGGCCTACCTGTGCCTACCCAGTGCTGGGATTAAGGGTGTGTGCACCATGCCTCAGCCTATAGACCAGGATGGCCTTGAACTCACTGAGATTCACTTACCTCTC